TGATGATGATGATAATATAAAGGAAAATGATAGAAGATGATGGTGATTATGATGATGATGATAATACAAATGAAAGTGATAGAAGTGAATGATGGTGATTATGATGATGATGATGATGATGATAATGATGATGATGATGATAATACAAATGAAAGTGATAGAAAAGAATGACAGTGATGATGATGATGACGATGATAATAGCAATGAAAGTGATAGAAGTGAATGATGGTAATTATGATGATGATCATAATTCAAATGAAAATGATAGATGGGAATGATGCTGATTATGAAGATGACGATGACGATGGTGATAATACAAATGAAATTGATAGAGGAGAATGATGGTGATTATGATGATGATGATAATACAAACGAAAGTGATAGAAGTGAATGATGGTCATTATGATGATGATGATAATTCAAATCAAAATGATATATGGGAATGATGCTGTTTATGATGATGATGATGATGATCATACAAATGAATGTGATAGAAGTGAATGATAGTGATTATGATGATGATCATGATGATACAATAAAAATGTTAGAAGGGAATGATCCTGATTATGATGAGGATGATGATGTTAATACTAATGAATGTGATGGAAGGGAATGATGATAATTAGGATAATGATGTTAATACAAATGGAAAAGATTGAAGTGTATTATGGTGAAATGAAAGTGATAGAAGTGAATGATGATGATGATGATGATGATGACAATACAAATGAAGATGACAGAAGTGAATGATGATGATCATAATACACAGGAAAGTGATAGAAATGAAAGATAGTTATTTTGATGGTGAGGATGATGATGATAATAAAAATGTATGTATAATGATGATGATGATGAAGACACTGATGATGATGATGATGATGATGATACAAATGAAAGCGATAGAAGTGAATGATGGTGATTATGATGATGATGATGACAAAACAAATGAAAGTGATACAAGTGAAAGATGGTGATTTAATGATGATGATGATGATGATAATGCTGATGAAAGCGATAGAAGTGAATGATGGTGATTTTGATGATGATGCGGATGATAATGCAAATGAAAATGATAGAAGTGTATCATGGTTATGAGGATGATCATGATGATGATTCAAACGAAAATGTTAGAAATGTATAATAATAAATAATAATTATTGTTATTATCATTATTATCATTATTATTATTATTATTATACAAAAGAATGTTTGTAAAAATAATTTTTGTACATTAATATTCTCTGCTTACCTTTGGCTGCGACACTATTTATTTTTTATCGATTTAGATGTGTGTCCTGTTTATAATATTGATACAATGTCTATTCAATTATTGATTTTTATCGAACCCTTAACCATTTTAGCGTACGAAAACAGACCTTTTTTTTGCTGTGTCTGCAGTGGTGGTGTTACTGTGTGCGTGTGTGGCTAGGGAGAGGAAACATTTCCTTTAAATAAAAAACAAACAGATATTAATTTTAACTCCAAATCAAATATTTACATAAATTAATAGAGTTATATATCCGTTTATTCTTCAAAGATATGATAAATAATTTATAATCCGCAAATGATTGTCTATCCCATACACACACAAAAAAAACGTTTTTAAATTCTTTTATTTTTTTAAAATTTACCTTAAAAATCGGAAAATAAAGAAAAAAGTGCACATATTAATAAGAGAGCGAATCTTTTAAACTTTATCGGGCATCGATTTTACACTGTCTTCATATTATGAACAGGACCTCCCCCTAAAATGTTATAAAAATCGATATTTTTCCGATTTTGACAAAGTACGGTCTAAAGAATGTTAAGATAGAAAAAGTATTTTTCTCCAAATATCTCTTTTTTTTTTTTTTTACGACTGGACTCGTCTATTTCGTTAGTCAATTATGTGCCATGCGTGATACTCGCGTAGGCGATCATGTATCTTTCGATACATGGCGGACGAGGCAGATTTTTTCCCGCGATAGGTTGCCAATTCTTTCTGCAGTAGACCAGTTGCCATCATAGGCTATAGAACCCAGTTTGTCCTGCTATTTACCCATATCTGGGGGGGGGGGAGAAGAAGAGGATTCGTACCTTTCCCAAAGGTATTAGCACGTAAGTGAATGTAAATGGATTCGACTGGAATTCGAACTCGGCTCTCCAATTCCTCAAAATATTCCAATAAGTTTTACTTATTCTAATATCTAGTTTCATCCTCTCCTTCAGCATGTATAGTGTGGTCTCGCCAAAGATAATGCTCACATACCCATAAAACCTACTACATACAATCCGTATAAACTGTTTAAACACCTCATTGTTTTCAGAAGCATCTCGTATATAATGTAATTTTTTTAAATCTTGTGTTTCAATTTACTTTTTTTTTTTAGTTTTAGGCAAAATACCAGAAAGCGATTAAGTTTTTTTTTATATTAGACTTCACCAGTACAAAGCTCGTGAGCCACTCAATGTAGAGGGTTAGTGAATGAGGCATGTAATAGGAATTTAAGAGTAGGTGGTAGGAAGGATAGTGAGGAAGTGTAAACATTAACCCTTGATCTGAAGAGGTTATCTAGTGTTCAGGAAAATATCCAGGCAGAGAAAATAAAAGCTATTTGGATGGAAATTTCTTCTTACTTTTGAAAAACCGGGTGAATGGCGTAGAACAAAAGAATGTTCGCATCTGAACATATTAAAATTTGA